AAGGAAGTAGTGTGTGTGTGTGTGTGTGTGTGTGTGTGTGTGTGTGTGTGTGTGTGTGTGTGTGTGTGTGTGTGTGTGTGTGTAGATGCATGTGTGTATCATGTTCGAGGTGCGCTGTATTGCCATGAGCTGAGATCCGTGACGCAACGGTCGACACGTTTCGACGCGCGATTCTTGAAGCGAGTGTGTGCAAAGATTATAATTACTCGATTACAATTGGTCATCGGGGTTTATCTCGTTAACGGCGTTAATCGCGGAACGTCAATAATTTGAATCAATTAAAATTTATACGATTTTATCGTAATGTCGATTTTAAGTAGCTTCGAATGTAAATGCGAATGGGAAAGAGAATTAGAAAAGGAATAAAATTCAGATATTACTCATTAATTATGAATGAATCGATCAGAAATAACTTTGACATTATTCGTTTATTTCAACGAGTTATTTCGTTGATTTTTTTCGTTATTTCATTTATATTTTTTTCCCATGTATTAGGATTTGATGATTTCTTTATTATGAGATTATTATTTTCTTACGCAATAACTGGGAAAGGCGAATGGGTATTGATCACAAGTAATTACGATTCTTGCACAACTCTCTACTAACTCATGTTCGGGACCAACTAAAGCCATCACCTACATCATCTGCTTCCGACTTTCGCTTCCACCTGTGGTCATCGTCTGTTCGTTTGGCCAAAGAAAGATTTAAAATATGCAGGACCTCGAATAATTTTCTGTTTCTGACGAAAAAATCGACGACGTCATCTTTGTAGGCAGCATCGAGATAGTCGAGTCGAATACTTCATTTTCTCACAACAATGAAAAAAGAACGCATTTAGAGACGAATCCATAAATCCATAGAATCTATAAGTCCACCGAATCGTGAAAAAAACAGAGGATAAGAATAAAAAAGGACGATTTCGTTCTTCCACGTTTGTAATATGCGGCAGCGATTTTTTTTAACATTTAATAAATTATTAAGTAGGATTCTTTACTAGACATATACGTTTTTTAATGTTCATCTTCAAATTTCGTAAATATCCAGATGTATTTGAAATTCCCGGCATGTTGAAAATGGATCAAATTTGTCAGAGCCGTAAAATGAAAAAGGCAATGAAAGAAGAGAAAATTCGATTCTCCTTCTTTCTTTTTCTTATTCGTCGTTTCAGACAAAGTGTGAAAGATAATCCGAATGAGTGCGGAGTCAAGCGCAACTAAGTGAATTAATTAATTATCGAAAAAAATTAATTAAAATTAAATTAAATTAAAATCAATGTGATTTCAAAAAAATTATTTTATCGATTTTACGATTAAACGAATTGTTTTACTTTTAAATCTAAACTCATCGAAATAATGTTAAATTCAGATAAAAAAAAATTAAAAATCTCGTGTAGAAAAATTTAAGAATGAAAAATTCAGAAAAATTCGAGCATTTTGTACATCAAAAAATAAAATATTCGCTACGTTGAAATTATACTAACAATTTTTTAACTCGAGAGCAACATCAACTCAAGAATGTGGAAGAGCAACATAAATCTCGCGGGACTGGGCTCATGTCATCTGTATGATATTCACTGAACAATGATTATCACATAAAGGAATTATCTTTAGGAAGTACCAATATCCAGTAAATTGATTCCACCGTGCTGCGAAGTCGCGGTAATTCGAAAAACGAGTAGGAGGAAACTAAAAGGAGGAAGAAAGAAAGAGAACATCGCGAACCGGATAGTTCAGTTCGGAGACACGTAGCGATTAAGTGCTCTTACTACGAAAGAAAAAAAAAAGAAAAAAAATACGAATGCTTCGCGAGAATTACAGGCGTGCGTCCCGCGCGATCTCGTCCGCTCGAGTTACGCTCTCCGCGGCCGAGGGGGAAACATCATTCTACTGCCACGTTGATTTAGAACACCTCTGTAAATTTCTTAGGGGAATTTGTAACGCGTTAAGGCGACACTTCGATACCGTTGAGATTACATTTACTCCCGTACGCGCGATCCCGAGGTAGACGAGATATTCGAGTCTCCCTGCCTCCGTCTCTGATGAGAATCGAGCTGGCATGATCCGGAGATAAATAATTCACGCAAGACGCTCGGTACGAGATAACATAAAACATTTGACAGCCGAAAGAGCATTGCGACGAGCGTTAGGAATCAGACTCGCAAACAAAAGCTCTCGGGAGCTCTCTCTCTGTGTTTTTGTTTTATTTATTAAAGTTACTCTTACGGACTGAGGCTCTCGAGTGGTTGTCGAGCGATGGTTACTCTTCATTTCATGATTCGTCAAAGTGATTCCATCAAAGACTACTCTGAGAAAATAAAACTCAAGTATAAAACTCATCTGTAGCTTTGCGAACGAAATATTTATTATAATGACTCGTATCTATTTGAAAGAATTGCCGAAAATTATTCTCAATAGTTAAATTTATTCTTTGGTTGTAGAAAATATTAGATAAAATCATTCTGTTATTCAATGTTTTGGAAAGTTATATACTAACAAAAAAGGAAAGATAAGAAATTATACATGACATTTCTCGACATCGTGCGTAGTGTCCAGAACAGATCTATCATTCGTGATTCGCGACAACGGAGGATCAGTCAATGGCAATAGCCATATACAAAATGAGAGAGAAAAAGGGAGGCTCGTCACGAAGGGATGAGAATGCGTTTAATCAGCCTTACTTAGACAATTATTATCTACATTATTATACTAAATTTATATGCATGTAACTTGGGTGATTTGCGTACGTGTGTGTACATCGGCGTATCTTAATTACAATCCTTGACGGTATGTGCTGTGGACAATGATAATCTACGAGCAACGTGTGATCGTAACGTAGACACGGTGTGTGCATGTTGTACATAAGCGATTATCATTTATATGCCGTTCGGCACCCGGCAAAGTATTTTGCGTTTGGCGTTTCGGAATCTTGTCCTCGATCGGAATCTAATCATCTTAATGATTATGTGTAAATAGCGTTATCAGTACTGTATATTTTACGCTGTTTAACTGGCTGTGATATTTATATGTTCAGAGTTTAATTGTGATTAGCGATACTCTACGTTGACCCTGTTAAATGTACAAATTGCGTGTCCCATACGTTTTATCGATACGTTTACTCGATTATAAACATCGCAAGAGTTTTTGGAGTGTACAATTAACTTGCCGAAAGATGCAGATCGTTTGCAAATTATCGTCATTTTTTTCTGAGAACTTTTGTCGCAATTACGACAAAAATGTTGACACTTTACAATTTAGAATTATTTGTAGAAGCTTGTAATCATTTATTACAATAATATCTCATTATCATTTTATTATTATTAATATCGGAGGTGCAAAATACTTGTAGCATGATGTACTCGTTAAATTTATTAGTGCAAGTAAACGGTTTACGATTTAAGTGCCACAGTCCGAGGAGCATGTCTGAATTAATCGATTTTCAACGGACGATAGTCACGCGTTGCTCTGAGTCGTTTAAATGAGTAAAAGCAGCTATAAGAAAACTGTAAAATAACTTTCAGGAGACACGCGCGACATTTCGTAATACCATACGATCTTACGCGATCGATATCAATTATCAATGATCAATCGGATCATCTCCCTATCATAATAACACTTTCGCATGACTGTTTGCGCGATATTGAGTTTATTGAAATATTTATCGGTGTTACAAGCGACGTAGATATGTATACAGAGATAGGAACGCCATCGGAGATTTATGCAGCCATAATGGTTCGTTAGAAAGAGAAAGATGTTGTTAATGATTGACCATGTATTCATCGTGCGGTTAACCGTCTCTTTTTCTCTCATAATTCGAGTGCATGTTCCATTGCCTAATTATATCTAATGATCGAACGTCACGTTCCAATCACGTCCGCGATCTTAATTTTAACGACGATCTTCATCATCAGGTCCAGCCTTCCCCTAGGAGAAGAAATCATATCGATCATGAAGAAAAGTTTTACGTGACGAAAAACGTTTTTCGATGATTATGCATACAATCGCGATGCATGTGTTGTTCGTCAACTTTTTATAAAGCCAAATTTACAAGTTTTGCATACATTTAAATAGTCATTACATTACGTAGTCGGACGTTCGGCAGCCAGGTTTTCAGATAATCGCTACGTGGGAAACGTCAATAGAACTTCTGGTCGCTTTGTGGATCTTATCAGCCAATTTTTAACGCGTAATTAATATAGTACGCCAATTTTTAACGCGTGCCAAGTTTTTACGGTGGTCTTCCCTTGCACACGGTGCAATATGATTGTAAAATCGTATGCGATTCGATGAAACATACAGCGTACGTGGCGAACACCGAAATAGTAAATTGCACGCGCGCATTATGTGTGCCAAAAATATAATTGAAGCGTCACGAATTTAACATTTCTTTTTAAATCGCATAAAAATAGGTTTTCTTAAAAACGAACCGCGAGCGGTTGTAATTGTATTGGTCATTATTGTATCGCGCTCTTCCATTAGAACAAAGCCGATTATGTCGGCATAAACTCCACAAAGTGATCCAGAGATGGTAATCGGATGGTAATCGGTTTGCCTTTAATATGTATCGCTATCGTGCATGCAACGGAATCCTTAATGCTTAACGAGATTATTCC